GCCAGGCGTCTCTCAGCCAAGAAGGGTCCAGCATAGTGATCTCAGGTCCAAGGACGCACTCCACTTCACCTCCAGCACTTCTCTCTTGACAGCAGTGGGATCCCCCTTTCTGCCTCTAGGAAGGCTCATTTTAAGCCTGGCTGAGTGACAAAACTAACCAATCCCAACATCAGAGTTCTACACACTTTATTATTTGCATGGTCCTACCCAATAATCCAGTGAGAGTTACAAAAACAATGGCTAGAAAAGCCATACAAAGTAATTTACTGCACCGCACCCAGCAATTCTTCTCCTAGGTGTGTACCTTATAGGAACTCTTTCACATGTGCACCAGGAGAGAAGGACAAAAACATTCATAGCAGCATAACCAAACTGGAAACAGAGTAAACTATAGTATAGACATACAATAGAACACTATACAACAACGAAATAAACCAGAGCTACACACAAGGAAGAATCTCACCATACTGAATAAAAGAAATAAGTTACACAAAAAAAAAGTACATATATATAAATATATATATATATATATATAAATTCTATAAAACTCAAAGAATTCCATTTATAAAGTTGATAACAGGCAAAAAAAAATAACACATTGCTTTAGTTACTTCGTGCTGCTCTAACAGAAGATACCACAAATGGGATGGTTTTAACAAATAGGAGTTTATTCTCTTACAGTTTTGGAGGCTAGAAGCCCAAGTTAAAAGTATTGGACTCTAGGGGCTGAATGAAAGCCCCTCAACCTTGGGCTTCAGCTCTGCCTCTTGCTCCCGGCCCACTGAAGCTGGAGGCTTTCTTCACTCAGGCAGCTGCTGGCTGCTAAGGCTAACAAACCCAAAGTTGACAAGTAAAAAAGGCACAGTCCCAGATATTACCAAACCACACAGCAGGTCATTGATTCAAGTCCACTGATAGTCCCAAAATCAGGAGACAACATGGCAGGCTGCTGAATGACAACTTGGCTACACGCAGGATGTCAAGCATGCCAAAAGCGGTAGACCATTCTCAAAGTTGCTTCTTACATACTAGAAGCAGATCACATCTCTAAAGTAGTTACTCAGTTGCACAGGTAGATTCCACCATGAAATTACTTGCCAATCTTACCACAGGGAATAACTATATCCAGCTGCCCATCTACTCAATCAGGCCCAGCCAAGTTGACACACAACCTACCACAATTCCATCCCTTGTCAAGTTGGCACCTGTATAGATCTTCATTGGGTGGCATCTTTATAGATCTCCTTCACTGGGTGGCTCCAGTCCCCTAGTTCATCTGAGTGGGGACCTCATCCTCTTGGCCTGGCAAGCCCTGTTCCTCTACCTCTTGGGTATGGCAGCCCTGCCCCCCTCACTTCTGGGCAATGGCTATGGCTCCATCCCACTGGCCCACATGAACAAGCAGCCCCACACTCCAGAACCAAGTTGGTGAGCATCTCACTCTGAAACCTAGGAGGCTGTGGTGGTTCCATTCCCAAAGGCCATGGTCCTACCCTTAAGGCTGCGGCAGCTCTGGTTTCCTTGATCCTTCCACTTCTGCCAATTAATGCTCAAGGGCAACCTACTCTGCCAGGAATCTTCCTGCCCAAAAGGACACTTAACTTTCTTACTCCATAGGCTGGCCACCCTGCTACTCTATCTCATGCCAGTCTTGGCTACCAATTAAGCCCCAAAAGCAACCCCCTCCACCAGGAAGCTGCCTACCCAATGGCATCTAGCTTTCTTCTCCATGGGCTGATAAGGCTGTCACTGTCTCATGCCGATCGCTCAGGTCTGCTGCCTTCTCTCATCCTGGTCTCTCAGCTCTGCTGCTGCCATCTCTCATGCCAGTCTTTTGGCTCTGCTGCTGCCGTCTCTCATGCTGCATGCTGGGGTCTCTCCGTGCCAGGGTCTTGAGTCAAGGACTCACTGCACTCCTATTTCCACATTTTAGGTATCTGTCAGAGCAGCACCCCACTCTTAGTACTATATTCTGTTTTGGTTACTTCATGCTGCTCCAACAGAAGATACCACAAATGGGATGGCTTTAACAAATAGGAATTTATTCTCTTACAGTTTTGGAGGCTAGAAGCCCAAGTTAAAAGTGCCAGGCTCTAGGGGCTGGGTGAAAGCCCCTCAATCTTGGACTTCAGCTCTGCCTCTTGCTCCTGGCCCACTGAAGCTGGAGGCTTTCGTCACTCGGCAGCTGCTGGCTGCTAAGGCTGACAAACCCAAAGCCAACAAGTAAAAAGGCACAGTCCCAGATATTACCAAACCACACACCAGGCCATTGATTCAAGTCCACTGACAGTCCCAAAATCAGCAGACAACATGGCAGGCTGATGAATAACGACTGGGCTACATGCAGGAGTCAAGTGTGCCAAAAGCTGTGGACCGTTCTCAAAGCAGCTTCTTATATAATGGAAGCAGATCACATCCATAAAGCAGCTACTCAGCTGCTCCAGTGGAATTGCCAATCTCACCATGGGGAATAACTTCATCCAGCTGCCCATCCACTCAACCAAGCCCAGCCAAGTTGACACACAACCTTAATGACCATACACATTGTTGGCAGTACAGATACATACATAGATGGTAAAACCACTTAGAAAAGCAAGAAACAATTACCACAAAGTCAGGATAATGAAGAGAGAGAGATGTGAATCAAGAAGGGACACAAGCTTCCAAAGCCTTGGCAGTATTCTATTTCTCAAACCTGGGAGGCACTTTATAATTACTACTGGAAGTAGAGACATAGAGACTTTTTATATTCTTCTGCATGCAAAAGAAAGGCGTCTTAGTGGTACAATGGTTAAGAGCTTGACTGCTAACCAAAAGGTTGGCAGTTCGAACCCACCTGCCACTCCACAAAAGAAAGATGGCGGCAGTTTACTTTTGTAAAGATTTTCAGCCTTAGAAACCCTATGGGGCAGTTCTACTCTGTCCTATAGGGTTGCTATGAGTCAAGAATTCAACTTGACAGCAATGGGTTTGGTTTTGGTTTGGTATACATGAGATATTTCACAACAAAAATTTTAATTTTAAAAAATAAAAGAAGAGAGCAGCCAACTGTGTTCAACACTGCTGAAGATGATTCAGAAGTTCTGCTCTATTTAACCACAATGTGAATTTACTAAGAGTAACTTTGGTGAGCACTACAGGTACTATGATTACCCATTTACAAATGACTAAGAGTAAGACAAATAACTTGTTCAGGGCCCGATAGCTAATAAACAGAGAAACTGGGATTAGAACCCAAGTCTATCTGACTCCAAAACCCAGACCTCTCACCTATACGCTATACTGCTTTTTCCCATCTCTCTATCTGAAAGATCACTCTATCTTTCCTGTGAAAGACAGTACAATATAAAAGGTATACATATAAAATTCTCCAGCAGGAAATAGTTAAATATAGTTAGATGTAGGAGCTCTGGTAGCATGGTGCCTAAGGCACTTGACTGCTAACCAGAAAGCTGGCGGTTCAAACGCACCAGCCACTCCTCGGAAGGAAAGTTGGGCAATCTACTTCCATAGTGATACCGCCTCAGAAACCCAAGGAGGGGTTGCTATGAATCGGGTCCGACTCGACAGCACATAACAACAACACATAGATGTAAGTTGCATCTCAAGATGGAAATAGTTACTTATAACACCTTCACTACTCTTGTCACATAACATCACCTCCAAGATTCTGTCATCATCCTCTTTAAAAAAAAAAAAAAAAACTGCCATGGAGTGGACTTTGACTCACAGTAACCCTATAGGACAGAGTATAACTGCCCCAAAGGGTTTCCAAGGCTGTAAATCTTTACGAAAGCAGACTGCCTCATCTCTCTTCCACCAAGCAGCTGGTGGGTTTGAATCATTGGCCTTTTGGTTAGCAGCCAAATGCTTTAACCACTGCACCACCAGAACTCCTTTCATAACCCTCTAAAAAAATCCACTGTCATCAAGTCAATTCTGATTTATAGCAGCCCCTACTGGGTTTCCAAGGTGGGAAATCTTTACTGAAGTAGATTGCTCCATCTTCCTTCCATGGAGTGGCTGGTAGGTTTGAATTGCCAACCTTCCGGTTAGCAGTCAAATGACTTAGGCATTGCACCATGAGAGCTCCTTTCGTGCCCCTCTAAACCAAACAAACCAAACTCACTGCCTTCAAGTCAATTCCAACTCATAGCAACCCCTACTGGGTCTCCAAGGCAATAAATCTATTATGGAAGTAGACTGCCCCATTTTCCTTCCGTGGAGCAGCTGGTGGGTTTGAACCACCAACATTCTGATTAGCAGTCAAATGCCTTAAGCACTGAGCCACCAGAGCTCCTTATTCATAACCCTCTAGTGACTTAAATTTAATAGTAACATTTATTGAATGCTTACTGTGGGCCAGGTACCATGATAAGCATTTTATAAGAGATATCTCATTTAATTCTTACACCCATTCTATAAGGTAGATACAATCATTACTCATATTTTACAGATGAGAAAAGTCACACTTATCAAAAAACCATTGCTGGTCATTTCTCACCATGTAAAAGTGAAATCCTCTAGCTTAGCATTCAAAGTCTCCATCATATCTCTCTTTCCAATCCTATTTCTCCTTATCCTCATGCATTCCTGCTCTCCGGCTAAACTAGATAGCATGCCATCACTCAAACATGCCTTGGGCCTCCCTAGCACCCACTTTTGCTCATGCTACCCCTTCTTTGGGTGTAAGTCTCTGTCTGCCTCGCTTCGGAAGAGGCTTTATATCTTCTGGCTTTATTTGTTGGTATCTCTCAGTCCATCACAGCACTGTCCCATTGACAACCACACTCACCTAAAATACTGTCATCTTCCCCAAACTTTATAATTGTGTTCATGTTTGAGCTCCCTTATGACAGTGTGAGCTCCTTAAGAGTACGGACTAATTCACTTTTTGAATGCTACACAAAGTCTACTAAATGGCATGCCCAACCTGTGGTGCTCAGCAAATATTAGGAGAAGTATTGAAGGGAAATAAACAACTTGGCAAAAATGCCTACCTGAGATGATGAAGCATCAAAACCTCCACTGACATTTCCATTACAGTCTTCACAGGAAAAGTGTCTTTCTTTGTTAACAGCACTAAAAGGCAAGAATGAATTAAAGAGACAATGACCAGAAGCAGTTCGTACATGGCACAGAGGAAACAGTCCTGGCTGAAGAGTCAAGAGATGCTTACTTACGGCAAACCTTCTCATTGCTGACGTACATGAAACCTTGGAAAAACAACTTAACTCCTTCAGGACTGTTTTCTCATCTGTCAAATATGAAGTCTGTCTCTGCAAAACCTAAGAATCCCATAAAGCATTTGGCTGACCACTGGAAATATGCAGGAATTCCTACCATTGGGCCAAAATGTTAAGAAATTACTTCCTCTAAACTTCTCAAAGTTAAACACATGAAAGGCTCCTACGTAACAAACTGAAATTTCTTCTCTATTAAGAACAATGCCTAGGCTGGTGTAGTAGTAGGAAGGCCTAGTTTGGTAATTACTTACAAGAAAGATTTTGAGTACTATCTTTACTAAATACCCAGGTGAAGGGGAGAGCCATCTGGAGTTAGGGCAGAAGACATCTGAAAAGAAGGCCTGCCTGGAAAGAACAAAGCTAATCACCACCACCTACCATATGGAAAGGGTTCCATGGCCTGAAGTGAGAAATCTTAAGCAGTTCCAGTTTTTTTTGTTTTTGTTTTTTTAGCAGCCAGAATATAAAGAAACAATTCAAAGTGATATACTTACCAACCAGAGTGCTTCATAGCATCAAGTAGAAGCTTGACATATGGATCTAAAGAGATATTGGTTTGATTAAGTATACTGGTTGGAGAAAAAAAATAGCATCAATTAAATACACCTACTCCTTACTTAACAACTATCTTGGACATTTTGCATTAATGACAATAGTCAAAAAAAAAAAAGTCTACTACTCAGTGGGCCAGGCTAGTGTCAACACTCAGAGGCATGGGCGGGAGGCACACCTGAGAGGGTCCAGGCCCCCTCTCCTGGGGGACCAGGCCAGAGGGAGCCCAGTGGGGGAGGTAGGAGTGGGCACTAAGGACAGCACCATGTAGAGGGGCAGGTCTGCACAAAAGAGCGCACTGGGCTAGGCAGGCTAGGGGTTCACAGGAGGAACGTGGTGGCCTCAGATCCGCACTACCCAAGCAGCAACTGCAGCACGCTGGGGTTCTCAACTGGGACCCGCAGCAGCTCTACTGGCTGAAGACAGGCATGGGGAAGCAGGAGGGGTGGATCTGGCCCTTTAGGAGGAGGGTGGGGTGGGCCTTGGGGTGCAGGAGCATGACTGCATAATTGCCATGGCCATGAACCCTGCCTGGGGGAGTGGTGTGGGGGCCACCAGACTGAGTGGACTGGAGGCACCTGCTGCCACGGATGGGCTCCACAGGTTGTAGGAGAGGCCAGGGTCACACAGGCAACACCAGGAAAAGCAGCATCAGGATGCAGAAGGGGTGAGGGGAGGGCCACACTGGAGTGCAGGAGCAGGAAAAGGGGAGTCCACACACACAGAAGCCAGGGCATCTGTACAAGTTCCAGACAGCTCCTGGGGAGCACAGGGCGGAGGAAGTCTTTAGTTCCAGGGAACAGGGGGAGTGGTACTGTGTGATCAGGAGGCCCCTCAGGCAGGAGGTGGTGGCCCTGGGAGTAGCCCCTGCATGCCCAGAGAGACTCTACCTGGTAGGGAGGGCTCAGCCCATCAGGCTTTAGGCACCTGAGGGGGAGGGGCACCTAAGGGTACAGGAAGCAAATTGGCTTCCCAGGGTACAGATGGTTTGTGCTTTCCAGGAAATGTATCTGGAAGGGAAATTCCTAAAGAGAGGGGCCCTGAGGGGTACAGGACCTGAAGGCACAGGCAGAGGAGGAGGTTAACACAAGGGTTGGGGGGAGGGCAGGATGCAGGGGTCAGGGGATCAGAAGAGCACTGTGATGTGGGGAGAGTTGAAGCCACTGCCAGGACAGCCTGCAGGATCTTCCTCTGCCACCTCCACCTGGGCTTCATGGAAGCTGTATCTGCAAGGAGGCTGCAAAAGGCAGCAGGTAAGTTATATAATTTTTGCAAAATGCCAATTTTTGCATAATGACCTGGTCTTTGGAAACTAACCATGTCAATAAATGAGGAGTGGGTGTATCTAAACAGCAATATAAGATTATCAAACAGTAACTCACAAATCTCTAATCAAGTAATGTTAACTTAGAATTGTTGAAAATGAATATGAAAACACAAGCTAAAATATTAACAAAAGTCTACAACTAAATAAAACAGTGATGTAAACACCAAGTCTGGCACCACAAAGCATCTTAGATTACATCAATGACCAACTACACCGTATTACAGTATATACCAAAAAAACTAAGGGAATTTGGGGCTACATCCATAGAAACAAACAGCAACATAGTATCCAGATTTAGGAAAGGCAGTAACCCCACTGTTCTCTGTCTGGTTCAGATCACACTGGTAACAACATATCCCATTCTGAGTACCATACTTCAAATGCGACCTGCCAACTGAAGCTCCTCCACAGGAGAAGGTAACTAGTCCAGTAAGGGGTGATGCTGAGTAACAAATAAGAGAGGATTTGGAAAAGGAGAAGGAAGACTTAACTAGGACCACAGTCGCTTCATTCAATGTCTATTCAGAGGGCAGAACAAGGACCCAAGAATGGAAGTTACATGTGGCAGATTTCAAACTCAGTATAAGAAGATTTTTCTAACAATTAGGGAAAATAGAGGCATCTGGGTCAGAAATTGCACAGAAAGTTTTCCTGTATTGGGGTATACACTAGATGACTCCTGGGGGCCTTCCTTTTCTAAGAGTCTATGAGCTGTGACTATTATAGGAAAGTATGAACCCAAATGCCTCTAATATCAAGTTTTACATAGGCATCTAGTCTGAGAGTATATGTGCACAGCAAATTACATGACATAGCCAAAAAGGAAAAAAAAGCCAAAAAAAATTGTTTAGAAAAAAAGGTCACAATTGGTGGAGAAAAGAAAATGAGTGTGGGGTGAGAAAGACAGATGTAGGTTTACTGTTTTCTAACCCACCCCCTTTTAAGAGTGTTAACAACAGAACAATTATCATTAATAAGCACTACAAATTGAATGTATACCAGGTATCAGGCACCATACTGAACACATTATTATTACTCCAAAAACTGAGATAGTTTTATAAAGTCTGTATTGGTTACCCAGTGCCACTCTGACAAGAATATACCACAAATAGGATGGCTTTAACAAACAGGAGTTTATTCTCTTACAGTTTGGGAGTCTAGAAGTCCAAGTTCCAGGTGCTAGGCTCTAGGGACTGGGTGAAAGTCCTTCAACCCTGGGCTTCAGCTCTGCCTCTTGCTCCTGGCCCACTGAAGCCAGAGGCATCTTCTCCGCTCAGGTAGCTGCTAGCTGCTGAAGCTGACAAACCCAAGGTTGACAAATTAAAAGGCACAGTCCCGATATTACCAAACCACACGGCAGGCCATTGATTCAAGTCCACTGAAAGTCCCAAAATTGGCAGAGCATGACAGGCTGGTGAACAACAACTCGGCTACATGCAGGGTTCAAGTGTACCATCAGCTGAAGACCTTCCTCAAAGTTGCTCCTTACATACTGGAAGCAGCCCACATACCTAAAGCAGCTACTCAGCTGCTCCTGTAGATTTCACCATGGAGTTAATTACCAATCTTACCATGGGGAATAACTATATCCAGCTGCCCAACCATTCAACCAGGCCCTGCCAAGTTGACACACAACCTCAACCACCACAAAGTTGAAGTGGGTTCAAAAGCCTGAAATGCACTTAACAGGGGAAAAAAACAGGGGGTACAGTGGTTCAATATTTCATGCAGTATTATTTAGGATGGATCTGCTATGAAGAAAAAGGGGGGTGGAAAAAGTCTCCCATGGGGCCTGGTTTCTCCCATCTCCTCTGCCCATGGAGAGGATTTTTAAATTGTCTGCTGACACTAGAACACCAACAGGTCCTCCCAGCCACCCTCCTCTTTGTAACATTGAGGCCAGCTGATTTTACTGAGGCTCATTTCAGCACTCATCATATCTTAACTCCTCCTCCACTGGCTCTTTCACTTTAAGAACAGCTCGCTACCACTACCCTTTACTCAGCTCCTGCTATAAGCACTTTAAATCCACAACATCTATTTCTCAAAACAACCCTAAAAGACAGGTATTTTTATCCCCTCACCCTCCTTTTTTACAGGATGAAAGAAGGGAGCAGAGATGCTAGGTCACTCTTCCACAGCTAACAAGGATAGCAGAATTTGAACTCACATTTTTAACTCCATAACTCACGTTCTATCCACTGTTCTCCACTCTGAAACACCTCTTACTCATCTTTGTATATCCCCCCACTAGAACCTAAGAGGCATCCAACACATATTTAGAATAAACACAATGCCATCATTCCCTTCTCTTCACTCTCTGCTTCCCTTCCTTCTCCAACCTCCCTGGATTCCCTATACACTGTTGGTGTGTGCCACTGAGTAGATCCCAACTCACAGCGACCCAATGTGACTGCTCCATGGGGTTTCCAAGGCTGTAATCTTTACAGGCGCAGACTGCCACAGCTTTATCCCAGGGAGCAGCTGGTGAGTTCCAACTTCTGCCCTTACAAGCACTTAACCACTGCACCACCAGGGTTCCTATCCTACTCCCAGGTGATTCCAAGAAGGTTGCAAAATTTATGATGGTTGACTTTTGAACTGTGATGACCATCCATGAAATAGTAAACTTGATTTGGGGCAAGTGCATTTAAGACTTTGATTTTCTAAATGTAGCTGAAGTAAACCTAGGAAGTTTGTGACAATGTAAAGAAGTTAAATCTTCTCTAGTGCAATGTCCCTGATACTAGAGAGAAATTAGAGGGTAGTTGTGGCACTATTTAATCCACAGCAGCATTTCTTGACCTTTTTTTCTTGGGGGATGGGGACTGAATTCATGCCCCAAAAATATGTGTTGTAAATCCTAACCTCTTTATCTGTGGTTATAATCCCATTTGGGAATTGCAATGTAATAAATTACCTGGTATGGCTTTTCTAGCCATAAATCTTTGAAAACTCTGCGGTGGGATTTGTCCTGAGCAACTGAGTAGCTCCTGATCATTAAAGTTATCCACTTGGGGTATTTCGTTGAGAGTGGCACAAAGCAATGTTCAGGGAAGTTCACTCTCTCTCAGGTGTTTAGAATTCTGATGTTATGATTGGTTAGTCTGGCCACTCTGCCAGGCTCAAAAGGAGGCCTCCTAGAGGCAGAACTCTCTCTGACTGCTGACTGAGAAGGATGTGCTGCTGAGAGAAATGCACTCCTGAGAGACACACGCTGCTGGGAAAGAGATGCAAGGGACACATATTGCCGAGAGAGACATGCACTGCTGAGAGAGAGACTGTGAGAGACGGCAGGCTGAGAGAGACTGAGCGTTGTTCCTGAACTTGAATTGTAGCCTAGAGCTTCCCTATTATACCCCAAAATCTGTGAGTTCTGTGTGGCCACTGCAGTGAATTACTGAACCCAGTGGAGAGGTGGTAGGTGCTGCAGGAGGAACAGTTGGTGAAAGGGCTGGAGGGAGGCAGCATGTCTGGCCTCACAGGAATAGGCCTTTGGCTATTGATGGTGATTCTGTCTTCCTCTTGTGGGGCTAGAAGAGGTCGGAAGATGTGGCCTCCCTGCCCCCTTGGCAGGAATGAGGGTATCTTTGTTATGTTAATGAGTCAGGATTAACACATGTAACTTGAGTCAATCTCTTTTGAGATATAAAAAAGAGATTCAACAAGCAAGCAGAGAGAGAGATGGGGTAAGACAGATGTCAAGACACATGAAGATCTCCAAGGAACCAGGAAGCAGTTGAAGAGACAAAGACCTTCCACCAGAGTCAACAGAGAAAAAGCCAGTGGTCTGAATTTTGACTTCTAGCCTCCTAAACTGGGAGCTCTGGTAGCATAGTGGCTAAGACACTTGCCTGCTAACCAGACAGCTGGCGGTTCAAACCCACCAGCCACTCCTCGGAAGGAAGGTTGGGCAATCCTACTTCCGTAGTGATACTGCCTGGAAACCCAAGGAGGGGTCGCTATGAGTCGGGTTTGACTCAACGGCACATAACAACAACAACAACAAGCCTCCTAAACTGTGAGAAGATAAATTTGTTCGTAAAGCCATCCACTTTTCGTATTTCTGATATATAGCACTAGAGAACTAAGAAGCGTCATGGGCCCTTTTGAGAATATGATTAAGCTATGAATTCTCCATAAAAAATGGACTTAGGGACATATACACATGATTTCACACCCCATTTCAGGGCTTTCAACACTCTGAAGCCTATCCAAACAAGAAGGTTAAGAACCCCTTCCACTGAAGGCAGCTTTGCAAAACTGATGTTTTTGCTACGCAGGTAATGGGTATGCTTTAATTAACATGGCTCTTTAAAACTGCCTCACCCCTAACCAAAAAGGGAAAAATACAGAACAGAATTTCAAATTCTCATGGACTCTAGACTTTTTGGAGCCATGGAGCCATGGATGAACCCCTGAAACTACTGCCCTGAGATCATCTTCAAACTTTAAGGCAAAAATATCCCCTGAAGATATCTTAAAACCAAACAATAGTTTAGCTTAACTAGTTAAACAAAAAAAAAAAAATCTGCCTTGAACATTATGCTTTTTAAGAAGTATCTATGTGGGATCAAATTTGCAAGAGCAATTCAGAAGATCAGATAGGAACCTTTGAGGTAGTGAGCTTATGCTCATAAGGGCGGAACAACTCAGAAACAGAGGGTGAAAATGGTTACACAACTCAAAGAACATCATCAATGTCACTAAACTGCACATGGAGAAACTGTTGAATTGGTATATGTTTTGCTGTGCATATCCTCAACAACAACAAAATAAAATTTAGAAGAACACCTCTGCCTCACCTTGATGCTCAGATCCTCCTGTTGCTGCATAATTTATATTAGAAATCAAAGGATCTGTCAGAAGATCTATGACCAAAAAGGTAGACACGCTCCTGGCCCTAACTCCTCGTTCATTCCACAAGCAACAGGAGTGCTGAAAAAGGCCTCAGGGCATAGTCTGATGGGGAAACAGGGCCACTCCCCCAACTTAGCCTCCACTATTTTAAGCTGCGCTGAGGTGCCTGAACCCGCCCTACTCGCACCTGAAGCTGAACCTCGAGGCCAGAAGCCGAATAAGGCCCAGCCCCTTCCTCGCCCGCCGGTCTCAGACACCACCCCACAGATCCCCAGCCTCCAGGTGGCGGCTCCTACTTGTCTCCAGCGTCTTCAGGAGCATTAGCTGGCACTTGTGATTGCTGGTGAAGAAGCTAGAGAAGAACCCTTGCTGGGGCCTCCCCTCGGCCAGCAGCTCGGGGAAGACCTGGCACGCGACGTGTTGCTGCTGCAGCTGCTCCCCCGCCGCGGGGCCCGGCCTGCGCTTGTCCGGAACTCCCGCCATGCCACCTAGGACCTAGCCGGTGCCTTCTCCTAGCTCCGGCGGCAAAGAAACCGGGAAAGGTTGCCCGCCTCCTGCCTACTCGCACACCCAGGCCCCCATGCCCGTAGGGCACTGGGAGGGACCAGAAGCGCTGGGCGGGGATGGGGACGTTGGGCGGGAGCGTGCGCTGGGCGGGGCTAGAGGCGTTGGGCGGGGCGTGTACGCTAGGCGGGGCCAGAAGCCCGGGGTGGGGATGGGGACCGGGACTCTGGGCGGTGCGAAAAGAGCGAGGTAGGGCGGGGAGGGCAAAGGACTCAAGGCCCGGCGGTGAACCCGAGTGGGGCGGGAACACTGAGCCCTATGCTGGCAGGCGGGCAGGCGGGCAGGCGGGCAGGCGGAGCTGGGGAGGGCAGTAACCTTGGCCCCCGCGCCGGGGCTGCTGCTGGCTTGTCCGTTGCCCTTCGGTTCCCATAAACGTGCACCCGATGCGTCTTGCTGTGCCGCGGACATGCCCACCCGAATTGATTCAGACTCATGGGGAACCTTTAGGATAGAATAGAATTGTCCCATAGGGTTTCCAAAGCCATAAATCTTTACGGAAACAGACTGCCTCATTTTTCTCACCCAGAGCAGCTGGTAGGTTCTAACCGCTACACCAGCCACTAAATCTTCCTTCTCTCTCTGAAGCACTCTGCCATCTTCCCCCACTTCTACTGTTTTTCCCTGGCAAGCCAAGTGCAGTCTCTGGACCGGCCACTTTCCCTACCTCACCCAACCGTGCGATCCACCCATATTGAAAGCAGTGTTTTTCAGAAACGTTTGAAAGCTACAATTCTTAAAAATGACTGGTCGCATCAAAATCTCAAAATACAGGACCCAACCTGCTATTTTCCGGCCTCATCTGGATCCATTCGCCTACCCTATACTCTTACACCCTCAAATGACTCTCCAATAACAAAACACACCCTGTTCACTTCTCCCTCCAAGCCTTTATTCATTCCATCACTTCCATCTGTAAAATTTTTTCCTCGGTCCCTCCAATGAAGGGCCTGATCAAAACAGCATTCGCAAATGCCTTAATCAAAATTAATCTTTCCTGCACTCCCAATATACAAACTATTTTATACCTGTTATACGCTCATCACAGCTCTGGTAGCATAGTGCCTAAGGCACTTGACTACTAACCAGAAGCCTGGTGGTTCAAACCCACCAGCCACTCCTCGGAAGGAAGATGGGGCAATCTACTTCTGTAGTGATACTGCCTCAGAAACCCAAGGAGGGGTCACTATGACTCAATGGCACATAACAACAACAACATACACTCATCACAGTCTGCCAGGTTTTAATTAACTTGTGTGTTTCTCTTTTTTCCACCAAATTACTCAGTTCAGCTCACACGTATTAAAAAATAGTAAAAAACACAAAGAAATAAAAACATAGTGTTTATTCCACCACTCTTGTGTCAGTTTCTTGTACTGTGGTGGCTTGCATGTTGCTGTGAGGCTGGAGGCTATGTCACCGATATTTCAAATACCAGCAAAATCACCCATGGTAGACAGGTTACAATGGAGCGTCCAGACCAAGACAGACTGGGAAAAAGGACAGGGCCATACACTTCAGGGGCACAATTTGTCATTGAAAACCTTATGAATAGCAGTGAAACACTGTCTGATATATTACTGGAAAAATTATGAATAGCCATGAAAAACTGCCTGATACAGCAACGGAAGATGAGCCACTCAAGTTGGAAGACACTCAAAATAGGTCTGGGGAAGAGCTGCCTCCTCAAAGTAGAGTTGACCTTAATGACATGAATGGAGTAAAGCTGAAGGGGCACGATGCAAAATGAGAAGAAACAGCTGCAACCATCCATTAATAATCAGAATGTGGGATGTATGAAGTAGAAATCTAGGAAAATTAGAAATTGTCAAAAATGAAATGGAACAGATAAAACAATGAGCTTAAATGGACTGGTATTGATCATTTTGAATCAGACAATCAAATGGTCAACTATGCCACAAAAGTCAAATTGAAGAGGAATAGAGTTGCATTCATCGTCAAAAAGAACATTTCAGAGACGTCCGGTAAGATGGAAGAATAGGCAGACAAGCAACACAGATCCTCTTAAAAACCAATTGACAGAGATACAGAAGATAATCCTGGAACCCTGAGCTTTAAAAGGAACTATGCAGAAGTGGATTAGGCACCAACTAGTAGAAAAACCTAAACAAAAACAGTGAGTACAGAGATGGTCAGAGCTGCGGACTGTCAGCTACTCTGACCAGACCAACAGCCTGAATATTTCCAAGTGGTGTTGGGACCTGAGAATTGCCCTAAAGATCAGTCCCAATCACCAAGGGCTACAGGGACAACTGCTCTGGTGGCCTATGACTAAGAAGGGCAACAGTAAGGAGGGAGACAACCTGAGCTATGGGCTTTCTGCTGTCCGGAGGGTGCAGCCATTCTGATTGTTTACACATGGCAGCCATTTTGGATATTTAAAGTGACTGAGGGCACAGCCATTTTGAATGTTTACAAGTGGCAACCATTTTGGATTTTAAAGTGATAGCATTCTCATTTGGCTTCCAGGGACCTAAGAACAGGCTCTGTTTGCTAGGGTTGGCAAAGACATACGAGAGGCTTACAACAGGAAAGGAGACAGGTGGTGAGTGTACAAGTGCTATCAACTAGTGAATAGAGGAGCACAGCACAGTACTCTGCCTGTATAGATAACATACAAACAAAACAAAGAAAATGAAAATTGTGGGCAAGTCACTCCAACATATAATCACCAATTAAATATAAACACAAAAACATCACAATACCTCGGAGACAACAGAGCATCACAGTCCACACAAAGAAGCAAGAGAAAGCAAGAGAAACAAGGGACCAGATACAGACCCAAAACATCCCTGAGGAAGAAGCAGCATTGGAACTCCCTGACAAGGAATTCAAAAGAATTATATTTAGGTATTTTGAAAGGACTGAGAGACCAAGGAAAACACAGACAAAACTGTAGAAGAATTTTGGAAGAAAATACAAGAACAAAATGACAAA